GGAAGCTAGTTTCCCGGATGAGAAGAAGCGCAAAAAATCCTTCCCAGAAAGCAACGCACACTCACCTTCAAGATGGCGGCTTATGACGTCATGGACATAAGATTTGCATTACTCGAGAAACGCGTGGAAAATTTCGAACAAAATCTCTCTCCTGGAACACTTATGCGATATTTCCATGCTTCTTCTTGCTAACCCTTGGTAATCCGATCACACAATGACACTTTACGCAACGAAAATTGCGTCTCCTGACGAAATCTTCCTCTTTGCAGTACGGACCACGACAAATCGTATTTGTCGAGAATGGCTGTCAATTTTCCTTTCATATTTGCTTGGAAAATATGTCTTAAGCCGGTTAAAAATGACAAATTTACAGCTAGGGATGAAAAAGCTATTAAAACTTGCGCTAATTCGTTCGTAAACAACGCCTTCCTTTGTTGGTAACTAAAATCTTTGAAGCAAAGTGCTGCTTATATAGTCACAGGGAGCGCGAGAGGTTCTGGGATTTCAACAAACCATTGCATTATGGGAAATTGGACTATGTACACTGCTTTTCCCGGTGCTTTTACGAGAGAGTAAAAGAGCAAAGAATCACAGACAAAACAATAATGTGGCAGTTTGAACTCGTTGGATTAGGTCTCTTGATCCTTGTTGTTGGACTCTTTGTCCTGTACAGGAAATCGCCAAGGTTTAGGTTCCGCACCAAGTATTTCAACTACCATTGTTTGATGATGTTCTTCGCCATGTACTGCACTGTTGTGGGAGTGTTTCATCCCTTTGATGTGGAGAACTTTCATCGTTGCGCCGGATTCGTGTACAAGACCCTCGTCAGATTGTACGCAATACGCTCCCATATTGAAGGACTTGAAATTTTTGACAAGCTCAAAGGCAAGAATTTCGTCATCGTGGCTAATCATCAGAGTTCTTTGGACATGTTTGTGATACTCGAGGCGACCCCGCGTAGAACCACGTTCTTGGCGAAAAAGGCATTGATGTTCGCACCTCTATTTGGCTTTGCGGCTTGGCTGTTTGGAATCGTGTTTATTGATAGAACACATGCCAAGAGTGCTAGGAATGTAATGGATAAAACAACGAAAAGGATCTGTGATGAAAAGGCAAGTTTAGACTGGGATCCCGTTTAGACTGCTCAATTCAATGACTTGGGTGGGTGGGGTGGAATGGGGGTGGGGTGGGGGTGGGGTACTCTATCAAAAAAAGCGCAAAATAGGATTTATTAGGGTTGGGGGTTGGTCAGCATTGAGTTGGTTCCATTTAGTTACTGTTTAGTTTTATATTTGAAAAGCTTCAATGAAAGCCTGACAGTAGCAACCCAACAAGTAGCAAAAAACTGCTAATTGCGGCGGTAGAGCATGTTTAATGTAGTGTCGAAAGTAATCTGGAATTGCTTTGATGGTGCTCTGTAATTGGTTTAAAAACTCAACCAATCAGATGCAAAACCTCGAATTAAACCAATCATGACTTGGTCATGAGCATTTTCCCATGCTTGGCGTCGGTTACAATGTATTTGTTTCTTCTTCTGATTGGTTCTTTGTATAACTATTGTTTATGTTTTCTGTAATTGGCATTATGATTGTGTTCTTATATTTAGTTCACAATACAGCTAATAATATATATTTTGGGAACATTAATTTTGCAGATGAATGTTTGGATTTTTCCAGAGGGAACCAGAAGCCAAACTGGAACTCTTCTTCCATTTAAGAAAGGAGCATTCCATTTGGCCCAACAAGCACAGGTAGGTTATTATAATATTCTATAATAACTTCTGTTTTCCAGACTTCCTTGTGAGCATCTTATGCAGCTGTAAAAAAATGGGTGTGGTGACATTGCTCTAGAATAAACGCTGTTTCAGTGGAACATGCAGTAACTTATAGTATATTTTCAAAAAATATTGGGAACATTGCACATAATTTTGAAAAGTGGTAAGAATGCTGAAACCTTTGCTTTTGTTTTAGCTCCCTATTGTGCCAATTGTCATCTATGACTACTCTTCAATTTTCAACAAGAAGAAGAAGCTATTTGAATATGGTAAGTTTCATTTCTAAAGTAGCATGAAGCTGACTAGTAGCCCCAGTATTTTTTCGCTGGTACCCATTTATACTGTCTAACACAATAACCCTGGCCAGCGCTCGATCCGTAGTCCAACACGCTAACCATTAGGCCACCATGCAAACTTTACTAACGCTTTGTTATTTATATCTTGTAGGAATCATGGAAGCAAAGGTGCTGGCTCCCATATCAACTGAGGGAATGACCACTGATGATGTTCCAGAACTAGCAGAAAATGTGCGGCAACAAATGCTCAAAGTCTTCCTTGAACACGACCATTCCCAAAGTGACAAGGATACAGTTTCAATGGAGGATAAAAAGATTAATTAAGTGATACTACATGTACAAATCAAAGGAAACTTAAACTAATATTCAAAAATGACCTGATGTTTGTTGAAGTATTTAATATATAAAGGTGAAAATAATTTTGCCAAATGAATGGAATGTACAGAGATCAGTGGTGTATTTTGATCCACAAATTGACAAAAACAATGAATTTCTTTTGTATTAAAATAATCAAATTGATGATTTTGATAAATGTCGTTATGCAGAGTTAACCATGAAGCCCCCCCCAATGTCGATGAGCTGGGAGAATTTGGTGATTATTTCTTTAACTCTCCTGACCTGTACAGTCGATTATGTATGATAATTAAATACATGTATATTAATAAGGAGAAATAATAAATATTTTTTTATTAGATGCTCATTTCTTGGAGCTTAAATTAACTAGTAAATACATTTTTTCTTACAGTGCAACTACTTTAACTGGGGCCACTTAGACAATGAAAACCAAACCACCTTGCACAATAGAAACAAAGAATTCCAACTTGAGTTGTTTGAGCCAATCAGTTTTTAAAACTTGGAACTAAGTTGAAATTCTCTATTCTGCTCTGCAATAATATTATTTGATTGGTTTTGATTCTCTTAGTAGCAATGGTTAAACCATGTGTACCAGAGGATGTTTTATCTTTGCGAGTGATTGCGCAAAAAAAAGAAATGGCACCAAGGGTACCCAGATTACAGTAGTCGCACTGTAACTGGTACGTTATATTGTTACTGGTATCATATTTTGAAATTTGTATGATTAACTATGTGTGAAAGTCAACATTTGATCAGAACAAGTTATTTACCAATGCCTTTTTATGAATTCACCATAGAAATGGTGAACCCTCAATCTACTAATTATTTCTCTTGGTTTGCAAAAGATACTACCAGGGGGGGCAGGCAGCGCCCTTTGATCTTGCCGCTTTTCCGCAATACATGATCGCACAAGTAAAGAAATCTGTCAATCATTCGAGAAACGTACCTCTACGGGAGTTTGCTGTGGAATTTTCATCCATGGTGTCCCACAATGACCAAAGTTCAGTTAAACAGCGACCGAATCGTTCCCATAGATGTTTGAACGTGGAATCGCCAAAATATTTCCGAACGAACACAAACGCACGTCATGTCAGCCATCGTCGGCCATGTTTATTTTAAACAAACCAGTACTTAGTCTCGCTCGGCCAAATTTCTAAAATGTGCAATCATATATACTAGGTCCCAGGCCTCGCTGCTAGCCCCCCCTGGATACTACAAAAGATACTCTGGTATCCAGAGTTTTACGTTATCAAATACATATAAGATCTGTAAGTAAGTTTTTAAATAATTATTGTTTTAAAAATATTTTCATGTTTTTAATAAGTCAGTAATATTGTTTCAATATTATTTATTGATGAAAATGTATCAATATGCATTGTATATTTTTTATTCTTACTCCTTTGCAAAGTTGATCTACACAGGTTTTTGCAATGTGTTTGTTTTGTTGTCGTTACTGGGAATACCAAGTGACCTGAAACAAATTGACCATTTGTTAGGAACTAAGTAGTAGACAAGTGGAAAATATTTGTAGAGGCACTTGAAGGGTTTCCAATTCTTATTATTATGTAATCACAACTCAAACTAGTCGAGCACTCGCAAGTATGCCAAAAGTTGTTACATCATCACGAATATGTCATGTAGGATGTGTCATGTTGCTTAGCAACTGTGATGCCAAAGCTTACAGTTCTTATCTTCCGACTGTTTGGTTATACTATAGACACAACTTTTGAGTAAACAAGGGCTGGAATTAGTAACAGACTAACTGCCTTGAAGATTGAAAATTAGGTAATAGTAAGAGTTTTTTTTTTTTGTGACGACTGTCATCAAACAAAGTAATCACCCTAGCCAATCACAACAATTCCAAATGACGCGATGAACCAAACACATGTATAAACTGGTGCCAAGCGCGGGAAAATGCACATAAATCAAGTCATGACTGGTTTTGCTTTTACTTCTTGATTGGTTAAAAAATAATGTTTGCTCTTATTGGTGAGAGCACAGTATTATTTAGAATCAATCACAAAGCTTAGCCAAGCACGTCGATAGTCAACTGAAAACCACTTGTACCAATGCTTGTAACATAGTAATTTGTCAAAATGTAGTTTGTCTTGGAAGAGAGTTTAATTGATGAAACAGAAAATCAACAAGCTGTAGTATTTCTTTTCACAAGCAACATTGTTTAGTGACTTGATTAAAATCGTTTACAAGTTTCAAGGAAGTTGTTATCGATTGTGTGATCTATTGCTAGGACCTACAATTTTGGACTTTACCGTTCAATGGAATATTTACCCGTGCCCCCATCCCAATGGTAGCATTAAGTTGGAGCTCAGGAACATTTTCAAGTCATTTTGTCCAAAATTGTAGATCTCACTTGCGTTTGATGTTTGACCAAAAGCAATAAATGAAAATACAAACTTGCGGTCAGAGTTAAATCACTGATGGGTTACCCTTTATATTTAGGGTACAGAATATTCCTTGTGGAAAGAAATGATGGCGAATTTTACATGTCAGCTTGGTAGAAATATGAGAAAGTTGTTTTATCAGTCAGTGACACAAGCTACTCGGAAATTTCCGAGTTCTTCCAACAGGAGTTGAACCTATGACCTTCCGCATCCGTCGAACGCTCTACCACTAAGCTAGAGGAGAGCTGTTGGGAGAACTTGGAAATTTTTTCCGAGTAGCTTGTGCCACTGACTGATAAAACACCTTTCTCGAAATATTTCTTTATTCGTCGACAGATACCCTTGCCCTATTATCCGTTAACAACACCGTTTTCTTGGGTATGTTGATGTGCACTGAATAGCTCTGTTTCTGAAAAACAAATTGTCACTTTCAGATGCATGATTGAGAATGTGGCATGGAGCCATTTTCAAATATGTGTCGCACATCAAGCGCAAATAACACGATGAACCAATCAGAACTCAAAGCAAAAACATACAACCTTTGCCAAGCGCGGGAAAACGCGCGTAAGGCAAGTCGTGATTGTTTCCGGTTTGGCTTCTGATTGGTTAAAATCAGAATTTTTGCACGATTGGCTGGAGCACCTTGCACAAGCAATTTGATCCAATTACCGTGACGGAGTTCAACAGCCGCAAAACCGAAGCAAACAATTACTTCCGACAGTCGAGTGAAAACTGCTCTAACAAGTATGTTTGCTACCCATGTAATGAAGCAATGTCTGGATCATATAAGAACCTACAGCATTGAGCAATGTCTAACATGCAGCCCTTTAAGTTTGAAATATGTTCGACCTCCTCTTTGAGTGGACCAGACTGCCAAGTAGCTAACACTGAGATGCAGACATTACTTGCCCATTACCTTTGCCTTTTAATTCTTTGAATTTCAAACACCTCTCCCCCTAGTCCAGTCCCTGAACTCTCTCTTTACCCGCCCTATATAGGGTCTGAAACCAGCGGGAGAGAGTTCAGGGACTGGACTACTCTCCCCCGTGCAAACTTTCAGTGGCTTAGCTACCGTCTCTGGTATCCCCTTGACACTTTCTCTTTTTCCCTGCAAGACTCAGATTTGCTGCTTCCTCATCTTCTTTGTCGCTTTTATCTAGTAGAAGAAAAGCTTTTTCCAAGAGCTCAGAATCTGCCGTAACTTGTGGTTTAAGCAAGCCCTTGGCGAAAATCACAGCATCTAGTTTGTAAAACTTTATATCCTCGTTTGAGTCACTCTGTTCTGCATTGGCATTAAGTGATTCCTTGAACACTGTCAGCCAAGTGACCACAGCACCCTTTTGCTCTAATGAAATGATGTTGTCTTTCACGCTTAAAACCTGCACCAGAAGATTGATACACTGCCACGCCAGGTCTTGTTCTGAACACGGAATGCTCGGGATTTTGTCAAGAATGGATTTCACTGCGTTTTGTAGGACGTCTGTTAACTGGTGTTTGTCTGCTGCATGCTGCAGGAGAAGCGAACAGAACAGAACCAAGCTCGGTGTTACTACGTTAACACTGAGCAAACATAACTGTGATTCCAGAACGATTCTGTTCCAAGGGTTAGTGGCAAAGTAGCTTGCGTTTGGGACGTAACCAAGGAAGCTTCCCATGCACTTTACTGCACACTGTCTTACAGTCTCACTGTCATGAACTAGCGAGTTCTGCAGGTAAACAAGCAAGACGTGGAGATCCACCTCGGATAGTTTCTCAAGGGAGAGTTCCTGCCCATGGGTCCTATCTGACAATACCATGACAGGGTTCTCTGATCCACCTGTGGTTCTAAAGAAGACATCCCAGTAAACAAGACTTGAAAGACCCAAAATGTTTTGCCGTTCATTGGCCAGTTTGATCATGCATTTCTTGTCCACTCTGAATGCATCTTGGACGTCTTTGTGGGCCAGCGTCTGGCAGGATGCCAGGGACGAAATAAGAACTATGACACTCGCAAGTAAATTAATGTCATCTACGGAATCCTTCCTCTGTCCAACATCTTTGACCAGTTTGGCATTCAAAATCTCTTGGACATAGCTACAGAACGCTTTGTTGGATAAAAGCACCGCTGCTACTCTCTGGTTTTCTCTGTTAGCGTCCCAAGCTAACGAAATGTTCAGGTAATTGATAGCAACTACCGTAAACTTTTGGAAACTGTTGGTGGACGTCAACAGGTTAATGACATGGTACAAAAGCTTGATGTCAAATGCCAGGATGGTCATTTGGACTGCTGTCATCACATTCAGCATAGCAGTAATTGAGTGCTCTTGAAGAGGATTAGCCTTGTGGCTCAGAAAAAACTTGTGAAAAATACTTGTTATGTGGATGGCTAATGAACTTAGGCAGGACATGCTAATCTTTGCGGAGGGATCTAAATCTCCGGTGATCAATGCTTCCAGAATGGTCACTGCACGATTGACAATAGCTTCCTTGTGACAATCAACGAGCGAGACAAATGCTCGAAAGCTTTGTGAGTTAGATGCTAGAAGTTGGTGGAGTTCTGCGTTACTAGAAGAGTTCTGTGCTTTGTCCGTTTCTAGAAAGCAAATGAAAACCTGTCGTCCGAACGCCTGTGCTAACGATTCACACGAAAATATCCAGGAAACAAACAGAACATCGTGAATGTAAATGGATTCAAACTCCTCTGCTTCGAACTTCACCAAACTTTGCTCCAGAATCTGTTGAGAAACTTTCATGCTTTCGATGACGGTAGCTGGCAGTGGTAATGTTCTCAGCCTTCTGTAAGATGCCATCCAGAGAAACAATAAATGTTTCAGAGAAACACGAGGCAAAATGCTGAGATTGGGATGCAAGACTAGGTACCTGTGCAGACTGGTCATCAGGTGTTCAACTGGGACAATCTCATCACCGTGTGCAAAGGACACATACATCAGTTCAATGCAAGCGCATTGTGTGCTGAAGAGAGACTCGTCAATTATCTCATTAGTGCCCTGTCTTACTGAGCTTTGGGTCAACACGTTTAAACACGCGGTCGAGGAGTGAACACCAACAATGTTGCTTGCCTTCAAAACTTCTCCAAGTTGGATCTTGTCAGTAGCATTACCAAGTGCAAGACATAGCTCTGTCAAGAAATTCGCTATCGCATCTGCAAGCTCTTTGCTCTCTGCATTTCTACCGAATTTCTCTTTGATCTCTAGTGACAGGCGAATAAAGGATCCCGATGCAAGCTTTCGTGCAAAAACGTCGCTGCAAGTACTCAGTGGGGACAACGAGAGATGCAGGATCTCAAAAAAGTTCGTAAACACTGCTTGATTCTCGATTGTCTCGTAGTTCAGCATTAAGGCTGGGACACATGTTTGATCGATGGCTTTCCACAAAGACTCCAGAAACTGGTCAAGCGCGTCAATCTCGTTTGCAATGGATGCTTCATTCCTCGCTAGTAAGGCTGCATAGGAGGGTTTGCGATCTCTGTAGTCTTTAACAAACTGGAAACTCTTCTTCATAACCTCTAACAGAGCACACATAAATGCTTCAAGTGCCCCTGAAAAATTGAAAGGATTTTTTGTAAACAAATACTGGTAGAAAATACGGACAATTGTCAGTGAGTCAGTGTTCAAGGTAAAATGTTATGCACCAATAAAACACAAGAACTGATTTAATGTCAGGTGACAAATTTGTCATTTTAGATTTTGCAAAAACTGGGTCGAAGCCCGAGTAGTAAAGAAATCTAGAACAGCTGCAAAGTGAGCGTCTTTAGGGGTTATTGAAAGTAAATAATTTGCACGCATTGAATTTCCTGAAAAATGAATAACATAAGTGAAGCAGAGGAAGGAATTATTTTGCAAATACTTCTGATAAAAACCTTGACTGCACCCACCGTTCAAGGGAATTCAAAGAAAACTTAGATGACACAAGTTATAGGATGAATGAAAGAATTTTGAACGATTTTTCATCCAAATGTATGTCTATTCAGAACACTTAGACCAAGAACTTACTTGTACCCCCCTCGGCTCCCCCTCATGTATTCCCGGCCCAAATCCACTACGTCTTGTTGTGCCCTTAATGCTGTAAAAGGTAAGCAGTTGTAAGCCACTCCCATCAAAACATAGGCGATGACCAAGGCCATGCTACCTTTACAATTGAAACTCTTTGTAGTCCGCATCTGACCATTCAAGATGGGAAATTGTGACACTGACATCCAGGTGGTATAAGGGGCAGGAAGTGAGGAAGGAAAATGGAAAATACACCAAAAAATAAATGATATAGGTAGTGGCTGGGAACGTCTATCCTGCTTCTCTTCTCAATGCCCATCCCGTCCCCAAACCCCACCCACCACTAACAACCACACCCCTTCCTTTTTTGAAATTATTATGTTATCAGTCAAAATATGGATACAGAGTTGCAATACGGCGTATGGCTTACCTTTAGGAACATTTCTAAAATGCATCTCTGGCTTGGTGAATTTCTGCATATGCGATATCACAATTGACACAAGAGGAACAACAGCCTTGAACTCCATGGCAGGGGGATAGTGATCGATTTTCAGAAAATGTACCACTGCACTCGCTGCTTGAGTTAGTACCCTGTGATCTGGAGACTTGAGACACTCGTACAGGACCTTCGTACACTTACTACAGAGCTCTTCATTTGGAAAAAGTTGGACGTTAGAAGGTTGCCTCGATAAAATGAGTGCCAACACGCGAATGGCTTGCCTGATAACTTCAGTGTTCTTGAGCTTGATGGATTTTGATACACCAACAATGACTGACTCGATTCCATAGACGGAGTAGCCCTCGGTGTAAAAAATCTGAGTTCTTACCATGTGATCCAAACAGCAAAACACTGAACCAAGAATAATGTCGTTTGAGCATTCCAGGTCTTCAAGCAACATCTCTCCAATGCCACTAGTCAAGAAGACTCTTGTGTAATCATTCTCTACAGGATCATTTCTTAATATCTGAGTGATGCATTGTATAGCTCCAGTCTGGATGGCCTCTGTAGGCGACAACATCAGTTTCTTCAAACTTTCCAGCATGGTACAACTACCCTTGTTTGTGGGTTTCAAAACAGAGTTTAGCACATCTGGTTGCGTAGCAAACAGCCTCAACACTCCAAGGGCGTTCGCTTGAACATCAGTGCTAACAGAGCAGTTAATAACAGAACAGGTTTGCTTGCATATCTTCTCTTTGATCTGCAAACTCAACCCATCGAGCGCATCGTCGTTGGAGCAAATCTGCACCAGAACAA